CGGAATATGGTGGCCTGGGAGGGCCGTTCCGTCGACCACGCATTGTTTTGTGCCATGGGGTCTAAACCTCTACGCGAGGATGCCAAGTCCACCTGGAAGGACCTCTGGACTGACCGGTGTGGAGATGTGATAGATCACAGTCTTCTTTGGGGGAGCTCTCTTATCCGAGGCGCTGCTCATGCTTCATCCCCTCACTTTTGAGCGCGGTGGCGGGCTGGAATGAGACATTGGACAGTCGCTTGCCGCGGAGATGCGCGTCCTCATTGCTGCATGATGAATATTCACATGCTGTTTCCATTGTTCCTCTCGTAGTTCCGAGCTTAATCTCGGGTCCGACGAGAAGGGCTGCCCTTGTGCCAAGCGCCATGGTAGAAAATGCTCCGTTAGATTAAGTTTCTGTATACAGGATGCCCGCTAATATCATCATGTAGCCAGCCCCAATGCAATGCACCAGTTTCCCTCTAGAGTAAAATATTTACACCCCCTCTGCTCTTGCTACACTCACAGAGAGTCCACGTAGTCGGCCATGTCCTTCATCGTCTTGAACTGCCACGCCCAGCCGGACTCGTGCGCATACGCCTCCTTGTTATCCGCACCTCCGCACACGGCGGGAAACTCGACGCCGCGCTCGATCCAGCACGTCGCCAGACCGGCCTTGTGCGCGGGGACGAGGTCGTGCGGGATGGCGTAGGCGGTGTGGATGATGCCGTCGGCCGGCACGCCCAGCTCGCTGCCGCAGTGGTCGACGAGGTAGCGGAAGTTGTTGGGGTCGGGCTTGTAGGTGCCGATCTCCTGCGCCGTGTAGATGGCGTCGAACTGGATCTCGGGCAGCTGGTTGGTGAGGGCGCGGCCGAAGGACGCCTTGTCGACGTTGGAGAGGATGACGAGCTTGAAGTGCCGCTGCAGGCGCTTGAGGGCCTCCTGCGTGTCCGGGAAGACGGGCCAGTCGCCCACGGCGCCGCCAAAGGCGATGGCGTCCTCATCTTTAGGGTCGAGGCCCAGCTCCCGGGCGACGGCGCGGTAGGTGTCGGCGAGGACGTCGGGGTACAGTGCGGTGGGGTTTGCGTGCTCGACGATGCCCTCATTCTTGATGAATGACTTGAGGAAGTAGACTCGGTCCTCGTGGTTGGGGTGCGACGTGGGGAGCTGCTTGCGCAAGGGTTGGAACATGTTGTAGATGCCCGACTCCCAGTCAACGAGCGTGCCGAAGCAATCGAAGGTGAGGGCCTTGTAATCAGTGATCTTGCGTGAGCCAGTCATTGTGAATGTGTATTGACTATAAGAAACGAGTTAAGAATGAAATGATGCTTGTTAATGAGGATGTGAAAGGCAGTGTCCTGTCTCTATTGAAGCGCTTGAGGGACCGATGGCCACATTATGTACTGGCACTCCGTGGACCACTGACCCCTCGCATGGCAGCCCCGGGCATGGGTTTACGCAATACAATACGGAAGGATAGAGCCCAGAGATAACAAGAGCGAGAGACTTCTTTGCCGGTCGAGCTCACCTCCTCCGGCACCGAAGCCCCGAACCTTGTAGGTCAATCTGCCGGAGCCAGTCCGGACGCCGGGCTCGTTATCTCTCCCATTCACGGCAGACATACGGTGCGTTTCTCTGTCTTCCTCCATTACAATTCTATAGCTATCATATTCTGCCCGGCCTGCCTGCCGTCATCGATGCCTCATGTCAGTCGCAGCTCTGGATCGGCAGTTGAACCATAAGCGGAGCTTTGAGATATGCCAGCCCCGGTTAGAGAGGCACTACGGCCGCATAAGCCCCATGCTGAGGGCCACTGAAGCTGCAATGCTGACCGGCGCCCTCTGGGAACAGATGGATGGGACTAGCAGTGATGGAGCAAACAATAGGGGACGACGCCAGCGCCCTCCAGAGACACATGAAAGGGCATACGGGAGGAGTCAAAGCAGCCGCCGTCTGGAGACAAATAATGGGACTCAGGCGACGCCCTCTTGGGACAGCGGCGTGAGTCAGGCCGTGTCCCCTGGCTAGTACACCAAGATTCAGGTGAGGCATCTCATGAGCTAGGTGAAATCTGCAAGGGCAATTGAGGACTTAATGATTTTTTTACCGCTGGTTCCATCAAAGTAGCTATCTCTATATTGAATCTATGTTCGCTTTTTCCAACCCGTGACAAAGTATGCTCCCGTCGTTGATGGGCTCATGTGCCATCGCCGCTCTTCCCGCAGGCATATCAACCTTGACCCTTTGTGACTGCAAGTCCACGGTTTGCAATCAATTGGGCATGCGTGCCTCGCGCCTCGTTATGTTGCTGCTCACTTTAGCATGTCAAAGGCCCGCAAGGCAATATCCAGCTTGCTTGTTACCACTTCCAGCTATGATCCCAAATGTTAGCCGCATGAATCGCAAAACAGACCTGAAGGTTGGTGTGATGTGACGTGATGTCAAAAAGAAAGGGATGCGAAGAACACAAGACATCTCACTCACCCGCTTTTCGTTCTCCCGATCGAAAATATCGAAATGCGCCGCCTCGACATCCATGGCGATCTTGATGAAGTCGGGATACCGCCCCTCCCCCCAGCCCAGCAGCTCCTCCTTGCGATACAGATCCACGGTGCAGGTGACCTCCTCGCCCTGCGGTGCCATGGATTTCTCGGTGCACCGGATCAGGGCGGTCGGCGGCGGCGAGATGACCTTCTCCGGATTCGGGTCCTGGAACGTGAACGGCTTGCTCTGGCGCAGCTCCCACTTGCCAGTGAGGGGCTGGTACAGGCTCTGGTTAAGCTGGAGGTCGAATATCCGGGGGCCCAGCGCGATGGAGAGCGGTTTGCCGCCGTTGGTCGGGGCCGTGAAGGCGGGGAGCTCCCAGTCCTTGAGGTAGTCGTCGCAGTGGGCGAAGCAGGTCTGGATCAGCTTGGGCAGGTTATCCATGGGCGGGTCGATGACGGGGGAGCTGAGGCGGTCGTAGGGGACGTGGAACGGGGAGTCGATGATGACGATGCCCTGGACGCTGAAGAGGGCCGTCGGGTCGTCTGCGATCATGCGGGCGATGGCGAGGGAGAGGTAGCCGCCCAGCGACCAGCCTGTGCTCTCGGGTCAGATACATGATGACATTGGGGGGAGGGATCATGTCCTCAAGCCATTGTGACTGAGGGAGACGGCCGACGCACCTCCAAGGAAAAGCTTGCCGCGGAGGCCCGCGTTGCGAATAAAGGTAATGTAGCTCCTGGCCATGGCGTCGATGCCGCCCTCGACCTTCTCGCCCGACCAGTAGTGAGGGTTGTGGATGACCCAGACATCGCGGTTGAGGTTGCCCAGGAAGAAGTAGGAGAAGGTCGTGCCGCCGCCGTCGTGGATCAGGACAAGCGGCGCCAGAGAGCCTCCAGTTGCGCTCTGGATCTTGGAGGGGTTCGGGCCTCCGGGGAACATTGTGGTCGTGATGGAGGCTGTGGACGAGCAGAGCTTGCGGTTGAGATGCTGCTTCGAGCGGGCTCGCTGCCGGAGGGGGACGGCGGGAGAGGGAGGCAGAGGCTGAGGTACTAGAATGGGGAAGAAGGAGAAAGGATGGAAATAGACCTCTGCAACACGAAATAAATCAATCCATTGAGTTGAACCGCCGGCGGAGATGTCTTACCTCAATCTCAGCTCGGGTGGACGTGATCGCTAAAGCTGATGACGTACGGCACATCCATCGCCTATTCTCATGCAGCAGCCGGTAAATACAGCGAGTCTTATGCCTGTAAGTAAGCAATGGATCCATTGCAGCATCATCTCTGCAGCTGAGATAGCACCAGATGGATGGCTGAAGATATTAGATGAATGTCATGAGTGATTCATTGGATTAAGTAATTCGTCTTCAATCATTTTCCTCTACGTCGCAGATACAACTCAGCTACCAGGAGACGGATGCCCAAGATCCATAACCAGCTGCTTGGGAGAGCAATATTGGCCGTGTCTCGGGTCTGATTCACCTCGGGCAATACGCAATGCGCAGAGGGAAAAGACGAGTTGGCCGAGACATTGCCTCTGCAGCCGACGGCAACACAGCTCCACCATATCTGAGCACAGGATCAAGCAATGCGCCTCATCCAAGGGTCGCATCCCATTGCCGACGCACTTTTCAGCCAGGCCATCCTCCTTCCTCATCCTTCTCTTCCCAGAGCGGATTGAGAAATGTGGCCTCTAGGCTCCCAAATCGCTCTCACAGGCATTGACATAGTAGAAGCGTGTAATTGAATGATTTTTTTACTTGTTCTGCGGTGGACTCAATTGCTACAGTCCCTGTATATCATATCAAAGCTAACAACATGGAAAAATATCCCTCCAAGCATCAAAACGACAAAAACCAGGTCAAAAAAACAATGACCAGTAACCCTTTTTTGGTGGTCTCCAAAACAAAAATCGCCGTTTTGCTCCATGTGTTTCCGCCCGTCCCAAAAACCCCTGCCTTTGCTTTGTTTGTATCAACGCCGGTTTCTTTGTACAAAAATCGTGTGGCCTCGTATATATATTCGTCTGATCATACACTTGGCACGTGCCGGCCACCTCATAACGAGAAAAGGCAGTGCCAATGAAAAAAATGGGGAAGATTAATGAGAGTGTGAGAAGTAGAAGAAAGAGAGTTCCCAAGCAAAAAATGATCAGATAGCATAAAAATCCAGCTTGCTGAAATGAGTGTGGGGAAAATGAGACTCAACTCGTCCATCCCGTGTGCAAAAAATGTGGAAAGAAAGAAAAGCAGACGCCGGTGGCAGCTCAAAGAATGCCAGATCCTACACTCCATAGACCCTTGATGGAGTGCGCTCTATAAGTGAATTACTCAACCTCCTCCTTGCACCTCGCGACTGGTCGGAGGGGGGGAAGACTCTCCAGGGGTATCATCAATGACTTGAGAGAAGAAAGTCTGAAGGAAAACATCATGGCCAGGTGCAGATGTCGCTAAAACATGAGAGAAAGAAAGGTCATGCGGACAGAGAGAGAAATGCAAGCAAGGCCAGCTAGCCTTGCCTACCTTTCTCCATCCTCTACAGGCACGCACCAACCAGGCGGAGGAGCTGGTCGTTGGGCATGCGACCGGCATAGTTGAGAAGCAGGGTCGTGGCCAGCGCCGTGTTGGAGCGGTCGGCCTGCCACGAGGAGCGGTTCTCCCGGGCCATGGCCATGGACATGGACCAGGTGTTGGGTGCCTGCTCCTGCACGGCGCGCTTCAAGCTGAGCAGAGCCTCGGACGAGGCGGCGGCGTTGTTGGCGTCGATGGCCTCGGACAGGGCGTTGATGTTGTTGCCGAGCTGCTGGCGGGCGACCTCGCCTCCCTCCACTGTGAGCATGGACTCGGCCGTCTTCAGGATCTCCTCCTGGAAGCCCTTGCGCTCCCAATCGCTCCACTGGGAGCTGGAGCCGTATACACCCGAGATGACGTGCGGGAGGCGGCGGCCGCGGCTCTGGCGCTGCTCGTCGGCCATGGGCGATGAGCCGTTGAAGGTCTGCGAGTAGTAGGCGGTGGCCATCTGGTCAAAGTTGTCGAATCCGGCGGCCTCGACCTGGTTCATGATGCACTCGAATCGCTCGTCGAGGGGAGCTTCCTTGGCGGGGACGCGGATGGGGGGAGTGGGCAGAGGAGCCATTGTGGATGTCGAGGTGGTCGGGGGAGTGAGAGTCTGGTAGTAGGCGCTGTCGGGGGAAGCGTGCTGGATCTTGATGGGCGTCTCGGTCTTCCACATCTCGACGGAGGGGTCAAAGGCAAAGTCCATGCCGTCGGCGGGTGCGGGAGCATAAGGCATGTTCATCTGCTCGGGGTTCATTTGGTCTAGCGGTTTCCCTTGTTAGCCTCCACGCAATTGAGTGAGAATCATGTTCCATCTTCTTACTATGAACTTGGGGTGTGTGAGGGTAGGCTCCGGGGAAGGAAGCCTCCTGTGGGATGTTGTTGAGCCTGTTGACCAGCTGTGACTGGAATCGCATGCAGTCCACATAGTACTTGCCGCCCTGGGCGTCCTGGCCCTGCTGAGCCTGATCGGGATGTACGGGAGGAGACAGGAGGCCGTTGGTTGTGGGAGAGGCCTGCGAGGTCGAGGGGCTGTGGACGATGGCGTGCTGGGGGAAGATGGAGTTCTCCGGGTCCTCGACGGGCTGCTCGTACAGGTTTGGCTGGCCCATCAGCTGGGGGAGAGGCTGCTGGTGGCTATGATCGATGATTGAGGGCGAGGGCGAACTGTCCATGCGTAGGGCTTCGGTCTTGGGCGTGAAGTGAGTCGGGGTGTGAAGAGGCTCGGGGGTACCGTCGCTGGGCCGGCGACCCTCGTGGCTCTCGAGTCGAGCCTGGAGCTCACCCAGCCTGGCCTTCATACGGTGACCTGTTGGGCATTGTTAGCAACGGTCCGGGACCCAGGTGGGAGCCGTCTCTGGACGTACGGTATGTGCGTTGTGCCACTCGGTTCTGGATTCGCTTCTTCTCCTTGGGGTCCTTGACCTTGGTCCAGTCATCCTCCTCCCTCAGCTCGCCATTCCGGGGCAGCGCCGATGATGGCATTGTCGTCTTCTTTGCCGCCGCGATGGTGTTTGGCTTGGCGTTCCAAACCTCGGTGGTGAACGACATTTTTGCTGTGATATGTGACTGATTGAGTGCTGCTGGGCGATCGGGTATCAATTGAGTGGTGGTGATTGATTGATTGTTGGCTTGCTGGATTAATCCTGAATCCGGGGAGTGGGAACCGACTAGGGAATGGGAGAAAGGAAACAGACTTGTTGCTGACGATGATATAGAGAAATGAAGAAATAGGAATGGCCTGCTTGTTCCGCCTTCACCTAGGTCGAGCGAGAGGTACGGGGGAGCTGGGGGAGGGCCGTCAAGATGTTATATCTTGGAGCTTCCCGCCCGCAGCGCCTGGATATCTAAGTACCTGGCCATGGTTGCGAGCAGATCCTGGTACGTAATTACGACTACGATGAGAAGGGCACCCCTGTTGGTCTGTCTGGTGGTCCGCTCTGAAGGATTGCGCCTGGGCTGCACCACTGCATCAAGGCCCTCGCGCTCCACCTTCTTGATCGAGGCCCACGATGGGAGCTCGAGTCGACCGTCAGACTGAGGTGGGTATCCCAATCAAAGACCCTGTGCGAGGTGTGGGCGTAGCCAGGGGGAGGGGAGGATCGCCCAGGCCAGAGAAGGGGTGAAGTACGAGCAGCCGGTTGAAACACACCCCTCTCCATGGACTGATCAGGTCCATGGAGGTGGAAGAGAGTGAGGCATTGCACCCCCTTCCTCTCGAGGCCCCCTGTCGAGAGCCAGGAACCCTTTGCGAGGGTAGCACGCCTGCTGGTCGCTCCCCAACAAGCAGGCGTCGCTCTCTCGCGCCTCTCCAACTCATTTCCAATGTCCATTTGCACGGGCCATCTGCACTGTTTCGAGCCACCGCCAGAGCCACACAGCAGCGAGCACTCGGAGCAGTCGGGACGACGCAGATTAGCAGTGATGTGATGGCAGCCAGGGACGGCATCTCGGAGAGTGTGACCTTGCCAACCCCGACCTCATTCTACTACGTACTATGTAGAAGTGTAAACCTTTTCTCATACGAGGTAATACGGCCAGTGACCTGGAATAGAAACGATTGAAGGCTGTACTTTGAACGCAACACGGCTATAGAGGGGACCGAGAATGTCTCAAACTACCCCTCCCTCCAGCGCTACGGCGGCTGCGATTTATGCGACGAGGCGCTGGTCACACTTCCATAGCATCTATTCTTACCCGTGGTTTAGCATTATTGGGTGCTACTGGACCAAAGTCCGTTCTCTCTAGACCCGTTTGCGCAAAGATTCAACTCCAGCCGCTGTACAAGAGTGGCTCCACATGCAGCTTCGCCATGGGAAAACGATGGCATACAGAATACCTAGATTTAGAAACATGAGCGATGCCGGCTACAGGTCCCAGACGAGGGTGAGACCTGGGGAAAGGAGGGTAAATACCAGCGGCCAAACCGGGCTAATTACTGCGAAGAGGTGCACCACTCAGGATCGTCAGCCGTTTAGACTCGCCCCCAAAGAGCTTCAATTGTCCAATCCCTTCATCACAAGAGGCAGCAATTGTCGATCGCGGGTGAGAGCGGGTTAGTCGGGTGCCATATTGTCGTATTGGACGAGCAAAAGGCGTGTTCTCATTGCACAGCTACCGCACGAGACCTCTCTAATTGCTGACAGAGGGAAGCAGATCAGCAAAGGTCGCTAAAATAAGCTGCTAGAATGGCGGTATACTACCACGAGTGTGTGTGTGAGAATTGATTCATCGTGTCGGGATCGCTATACTAGGCAATGCAGCGGTAAACTATTGCTCTCGCTATGACTATTCCATCCTGGTGCCAGTGCGGCAGAACAGCCTCTTTTCCTCTTTCTTTTTTAGTCGCAGCAGCGTCATCGTCCTGTCTCGACGCACTCCATGTGTCGGGGCCAAAAATAGCCAGGGCGAGGGCCAAGCCTGATGCGACCCTGAGGATGGATGAGCCAGATCAGTCTCCACCAATGGCGGCGCAGGTCATCATGGTGAGAAAGAAGTGTCTGCCAGTCAGTTGTATGTAATCCAGCTTGGACAGGTCAACCCACGATTGAGGCTGTATCAGGTGGAAGCGGTCGATCTGACGGTGGCCGCACCCTCCCTCACGTGGCAGAGAACGTGATGGATGGCCTCCAGGCACAAGAGGATTCTCAGCGTGCTTCCTGTACCTGTGCGCACCTCTGTGTATCATTCCAATTCCTACTGCTACAGCCTACCGCACACACCTGTAGCGTCGGCTTCTTTCTCCCCGGGGCCGCCGAACTGAGTTCGCAGTCAAAAAAGGAGCTCTTTGCCGCGCGACTGCATGCCACCACCTTCGGCCGACCTTGGGCACTGCCAAACGTGGGAGAGAGGATGGATCTTTGGCGGACGCGGAGATTATTGCCCTGAGTACGGCCCCGTTTTGCGTGCCCAGCACCAACATACTACATACGCACGCATGAAGACTCTGTCCACTACCCACCAAGCCTTGGCTCGCTCTCCTACCAACAGCTTAAACTAAATGATTCGACTAGGTGGAGAAAAGGATGGCCCATTTCACTTATCATACCCGAAAAGACAAGACATGACGAAACGAGACAGACAGACGAGACAAGACGAGACCAAGCTCGGCAGCCTTGCTTACCCCCCTCAGACTACACGATGTAATTGGATGACCACCGCCAATCCTTTCCCCCGACACACATCACACTCGGCTGAGTCCAAAACAAGGCGACCAAGGAAACGTATGTATTGGAGTATATAAATATATCAAAATTCGAATGCAATCTAAAAAAGTCCCTACCCACTAGCCCCGTCGATGAACCGGTGGTAGACTGTGCCAATGATCTCCTGCAGGGTGGAATCCCCAACTGGCGTGACATCAGAGAGCTTCCAGGTCCTCTGTAGCTTGTACTCTGTGACTGCACCTGTTTGATGCTCGTTTCCGCCGCTGATCAGAACGAACACCCACGTGCTGGCCAGCGCTCGAGCTGCGATTCGATCGTTTCGGACCGATGGCCTAGCCCTGGAGCTCAGGTCGCCGAAGCGAGCGGCTATTCACAGCTGTAGCTTTGCCATCAAAATGATCAGCGACTAGCTACCCAGTCCGCGGTGTGTCATCGCGCAGAAGGATTGCTGCCAGGCCATCTTGGTCCCCACGACGGGAGATGCAGGATTCATTCGATGAAAATGATGTAAATGCTCGCTGGAAAGCTTTGCCATGGAGGTATACGGCTGATGCCGAGACATTTTTCCATTTTCCACTTTCACCGCTTGGTTGGTCTGACCAACAGTCGTCCCAACCAACAGCATCTACATGCCACGATATTGCCTCTAGTCTCGGCCAACCACCCGACTGAGCCATGGCCTGTTGGTGGCATCTCAATGTCCCAATGGAGGAAATTGTAAACAAAGCAGGGGATTGTCTGAGTCTCCTGGATAGCAATTGGCTTCTCATGCAGCTCTTGTTCCAGCCTGGGGTAAAATTATCCCATCGCCGAAAACAGCAGCTTCTGTAACACCGGCTGACCAGCGTGCCTGTATTGCTCAATCGGGATGATGCCTGATCCACGGAATGCTATTGAAACGTGCCTATAATGCGTGGCAGTGGAGTTGATGGCTTCCAGCCTTGAGAAAGTATCCATTATCCATGTTCTTGGAAACTCTCGTGGACGTGGATGATGCCATCAATCAAGACCAGCTTCAGAAACCAAGGCCAAGCTTGTCCAGCAGTCGTCTGCAACAATTGCCTCCTGGAGGAGCGACAACCCCGCTGGGTGATCGGCAGATTCTAGGCAGCCCCAATATCCTGGACTGCCTCGACTGCATCAGCTTGTCGCGGGGAGATGAGAAGCCATTCCGACATGCACGATGCGCAGCAATGCACCGCCTTTCGTTATTCTCGGCATTTGCATCCCATCACGTCGTTTAACCTTCTCACAGATACGGGGACTTGCCGCGGCCTGGCAATGATGTGATACCACCTGATAGCGCAGCACTACTACCGAGGGAACTTTCTTCCTCAGCTCGTCTGCTTGCATCTTAGCTCCATGCAGCCTCATCACGACTGCCAAAGCCGGCAAGGTAGCTTCCCAGCCCTACCTAAGCGATGACAGTCCGGGCATGGGTGCGTAGGGGGGATCAGTTCGTACTCTACAGTCCTTTTGGCTAGCTCCCATCACGTCGCAGGCAGATCCTCACCCATTGCAAGAGGCCGGGCTTACACCTCAGCATTCTTGATCCGACTAGGTGCATCCGCTGAAAGTGGACTGAGATCTCTATCTCACCTCGCGCGGGCAGATCCCACTGATCTGCACCCGAGGCTGGTGAGACAGGAGCGCTCCAATTGATTGAATGAATCACTGCTATCTGGCAGGTCAGGCGGGCTGGACGAAACACCGACGACACGGCTGCAGATCCATCTCCAAGGGCCAACAGCGATTTCAGACGGAGCTCAGCCCTGTGGCAGGGTGGAAGATCTCAAAGACTTGTTTTACCTTTTCTGCTTCACACCAACACGCTGTGCGGAACCCCTCCTTTGCTTCTGCTCCGCCATTGTGCATCAGGGCTGAGAATCGCTGCTAGCAGGGGCGCCCGGTGGTGAGGTTGCATTCAACATCTCACATGCTGGCATATGAAATCTAGAGGAGCTGGGGTTGATGGGAGAGGACGCCTCGTGGGCATTGAGTTAGCCTAGCTGCTGGGCATCGTGATGCCTCGCATTGCTCGTAGCTGTAGAAAATATAATTCATGATAAAGTTTGCATCTACGACTCACTTACGAGGAAGGGATCGTATTCTGGCAAAAAGCGACGGGCGAGCTGGGCGCCACGTTTGGCAGCCGAGCCTCGAGGCATCCATCCCCGGATCTCGCTGATACACGCACGCGCCGTTTAAGTTATTCGTGGTGCTCGATCGACCACGTTTCGGTGGAATTGGGGGTCTTCAATGCAATCGGAAACACGCAACCCGATGCGCTGTCGGATTATTCTTACGCAGGATGCCGGGCTGGGGGTTGTGACAGGTCCTGCAGCAACGGGATGAAGCCTGAAGGTTGAGCCATCGGTACCACCCACGCGATACGCACATGTAGGTAGGGTGGTGTCGTCAGACGCATGGCGTATGCAGGGCCCCAAGGGTTACTACGGGCTCCGAACAAGAGTGTCTGTATTGAACGCAATGCCTCCATTCCCAACATCCAACATGATGTGCCTATGGGACGGTTGCAAAGGAGATCCTCAGTGGGAAGTGGCCTGACGTGCCCCTCCCCGCTCATCCTTCTACTGAACACAGGCCTCTCGTCCACTGAAGCTCTTCGTTAGCACCACTGACACCCTTATCTGATCGCCTAAATGCGCTACAGAGGCACCCCAGAAGCAGCGGAGGATCTCCGCTGTTCTATTCTCAAACTGCTGCAGGTTCCCACACGCAGACCAGAAACATCGGTCAGGAACATGGCCGAAAGTCGGAGAGTCTGGGGACCGAGGCACACAGTCAGCGCAATCGAATATGATTCAGTTCAGAGCAATTAGGATCGCTTTCTATCCAAAAGGCCAAGATGCGAAGCTGCGCCTGCATCCCATGGGCACAAACTTTGGCCGCCGTTTCATTAATGGAAAGGGAAAAGCCACCATTAGGAAGCTCTTTAGCAGCCCAGGTGTGCTTGTAGAGGGCCTCACACCGCGGCCATCAATCCGACCAATCCAGTGGCCTGACGCTACCAGAGCTGAGTGCGTGAGGCTTCATACTCTACATAATTAGACACAGTGTCTGCGCTGTGTTTGGGAGGTTGGTTGCATGGCATCGCGTCACATTGCACGGCGCGGGAAGCCTCAGCTGGATCCTGCAGGGCTCTGGGCCCAAAAATAGAACCCCTGCCAGGGATCTCGCGCTGGGGAGAAAACTCCAAAATAAATGGGCACCGGGTATGACACGATGACATATTATGGGTGGGAGTGAAGCACTGCCCGCGCGGGTGCCATCGATACCTGAATGTAGTAGGTATTGGCTGCTGGCTGCTCGTCTTGGGAGGATCCTGGAACAGCAAAGGGCGGTGGTGATCAGTCTGGTGATCCAATGACGCATGAGAAGACCGTCGAGCTTCCTTCTGACGCACTTGTCGGACTCTCGGTCCATCTAACACGTCTCCAAAGCCTTGTCTTGGTTTGAACTTGGGTGGTTATCTGGGGGGAGTCCGTTCAGCATCGGAGGTGGAGGATCGCAGCGACTTCAAAACACCAAACTCCAGCCAAATCGCATCACCAGATCCCAGATGAAGGGTATGAGACCAATATCAAACGTACCAAACAGATCAACAAGACAAGCTATGATCGTCAAGTTAAAACAAAACAAAGCAAGGCGATCCAGCGGGGACCATGTCTCATACGCTGCTCGGGGATACTCATCTTGCTTGTTCCCCATTTGCTTCCTTCATCTGGGGCCAGGGTCCGGCCAGAATAATGATGCGTTAGATGGTGCTCAACGAGGAGCCTTCCCAATTATCGATGCAGTGGCTTCATGGGTGCAAGGTATGCGCGCGCATATGATGCCCTAATAATTATCGTCAACCCACACCGTCCCACAACATGGAGTGCATGCTTTCGATTTGTCTACTACCCAGTCTGATCTCTTGTGCTACAGATAATGACCTAGACTTAACCGCCAGAGGCTTTTTGGACTCTGTGCCAGATCGGCAAGCAGCAAATAGTTCGAAGCTTAGCTTGCCGCCATCTTTGCTGGACTAAAATGAGTAAAAATATCTGCCGTGACCCCGCCGCCTCTGCCATCTCTACCGTCACTAATCCAATACGTGGTGTGTGTGGACTGCCAACATACAAGCTGCCGAGCTGAGAGGTCAAGCTTGTATCGACCTGCAGTTGGTGACTAGCTCTATGAACCATTGGCTGTGAAGCACGCATCTTTCCCCAGAAAGTAGCCAGCCAGCCAGGTCAGAAATCTATATCCGGACTGTTTCGCCCAACGTGCATGGGAGCCATCCCGCGGTGCCAAAATTGGCAACACTGAGCAGGGGGTCCCTGCATATCGCTTCCTTCAGGCACCCAAGCCGCTCCAGCGAGTCCGGAACAAGAAGACCAGCTCACGCACGCATCTTTCCAGAAGTCGTAGTCCAATGTATGCAGGTAGCTTCATCAATCTACCTGCCCGCTGCTCGCAGCCGAGGGGTCCTTGTCTGTAGGATCGCAGGCAGCAGAATAAAACCCCAGCAAATTCCCCGAGGTCCCCTCCAACTCCCCTGCCATGATTGGTGTCGATACGCGGCACGGCTGCAGATAATGGCGTTGCAAAAGGCATCGTTGACGTATGGCGGGCGGGATCTATTATTAAAGCTGTCCATTTTTTGCTCACGTCGAATCAATCGCCCATTCTGGGCTTTTGTAATAATGACCTGAGGCCTTACAAAGAATACAGTAACATCTACCTTGGAAATAACTTCTCGGCGTCTTCCCAATTGCACGCCTGGCATACCCACACGCCCTGCCTCCAGGGTCTTGGCCTTCCTCTGGGGATGGACTTTCTTCCCTTTGAGGAATTAGGCTCGGCCGGGTTGATGGAAGCCACCATTGCTAGCTCAACAGGTCTCTGCCGAGAGATGGTAAATGGCGCGGGTTTGTTCCTTGGTGTCAAATAGCGGACACTGTAGGTCTCTCTTTGCTGACAGTTTCCACACGTGCTGCGATGCTGTCGTGAGAACGTCCCGAGAGCCATGTGGTCTGATCACCACAGTGACATACCAGTTGTTGCCTCATCTATTAATCAGCGCACGACATATTAAGAGAGAAGGCTAAGAAACTAAACAGGTTAATCAATCAACATTCAAGGCTCGGTTCGACGGCCAAACAGACAGTATTCTGGCAGAAACCGGAGCCAACCAACCAGCCGTGCTGCTCACCCGAAGCCCGGAGCCCCGTCCGGCCTTGCCTCTTCCTGGCATGTCACCCTGCAATAACACTGTAGTACCATATGCGAGCAGCTACACAAGCACTTTCTTCACTATTCATACCGTAAGATGCATTGAATTTATTTAAAAATCGATTGAGTCGCACGATTCCTCGTCACACTGGATGGCGGGCGGAGCACACACCTGGTCGTACTGCGTGTTGGCTACCTAAGCAAAAGGAACCACTGACA